TGGCCGAAGGCCGCCGGGGGCCTGGCTTGGTGCCCCCCGAGCCCGCCCGTCCGCGGCCTGTGCCAGGGATGCCCGAGGGGAGGCCTGGCCTCCGTCCCGGCACAGCCTTCCGAGGACGTGCAGGGAGGGGGCCGCCTGTCCTCCCCGTCTCCCTTTCTCAAGGCCAAACCCGTCCGGGTCGTTCAGCCCCTCCTCACACGGCTCCTGCATCTTCCGTGCCACAGCTGTTTGGCTTCCAAGCTACAAGATTAGCTTCCAGAGCTAATTTTGGCTGCATTTATTTCTTTTTTAGAAACAAAAACAAAGCTTAAGGGAAACTTGCACACCATAGTAGTAAATTAAAGGGAGTTTTCTATTCCCCTCAAAGAGGACATCTGGGAGATTCTTCATATGAAATGTTGTTAGCTCTTGATTATGCTCAACATATCTTTGCAACAATACATTGAAAGAAATTAAAGAAAAAAGCCTTTGAATACAAGCTAATTGGACTATAGCCCCTCACACAGAATGCACGTTTATATTCCTTTATTGGTCCCCATCAAATATTTCTCAGGTAGGAAAGCAAAACATTTTGGCAGGAGCATCCTCCAAGCCAGCCTTCAGAGCTCTCACTTCAGTAATCCTGAAGAGCCTAGAAGGTTCCCGTTCTTCAGGCAGATTCAGAAATGTATTATTAATGATATAGCATGGATGTGGCTGATGAAGCACCTTTTTTAATACAATTTTTATGGTTTTCTACCACTAAGACAATTATTCCAAAGCCATCAGACATACTGGATCGTTATATTATTCTCTTTACAATTAATGTATATTTCAGTCCTAAATATAATTCCATTTTGCTGACCAATGATTTAAAAAGTCCCAAGTTTGATAGTACAGTGGCACCTCAGCTCACGAACGCCTCAGTTCACGATCAAATCAGGTCGCAAACAGAAATTTCATTAAAATTTTGCCACAGGTCGCAAACTCTGCATTGGGCGATGATCGCAAGCGCACCCACCTCCCCTGCAGGGGTGCAATCAAGGTCTTGGGGGGTGGGGAGATGGCCGCGATCTTTGCCACTTTCCTTCACATTTTTGTGAGTAAAAAAATAGTTGCAGAACCCTTATGGGGTTGTTGACCCTTATGGGGAAATGTGACTTGGCTCACGACCCATTTGGGTCACGACCGGAGTCCTGGAGCGGATTAAGTCCCTGAGCCGAGGTAGAACTGCATAAGCATCTTGAAGAATTCCGTCTTGGGGGACGGCAGGCCTGGATGAGGCAGAAGAGCAGGCGGGGAGGAAGTGGCTTGGTGCGCCCGGCTTCCCTCCTGGATTCCCAGGCCGAGCGTGAGAACGGCCCCACCTTGGAAAAGGAAGAGGAGGAGGACTTTCCCAAACGGGGGTGGGCGGAAAGGCGGGGAGAAGCCCTTCCAGGACAGGCGACTGCAGCGGAGTGGTCGGAGCAGCTCCGAAGCGTCCGGCTTTCCCGGTGTCCGTCCTGCAAGCACCGTGGGGCCTGGCGCTTGGCCGAGAGGGAGGGCAGGGGGGCGCTTCTGTCCAGGCCAGACCCTCTCCGTGGTCAGAGGCTTCTCCCACAGCTCAGGCAGACGGCGGTCCTGCTGCCGCTTCTCTGAGATTGGCTGAGTTTTGATAAAACACCGCCCTGCCTAGGATGCCGTTTGGGTCTGCAGGCGAGGGGGAGAGGGAGGGGTCCGCTCACGGCACTCTGGGGTGTCGGGGCACACTGCCCTCAGCATGTGGGTGACCACACACACTTCTGTGCCTGCGGAGCAGGAGCTTGTGGGAAACCTGGAAAGAGAGGCCGCCTCCCCCGCATGAATCCGTCCCAGGCCCTTTTGCTGCCCCCAGATCCGTGGCCCCTCCGGGAAATGAGTGCCACTGCTGAATTCTGCACGGTGCGCAGAAGCGCTTCCGTGAGCCCAGCTTGCCGAGCCTCGGCACCGAGGGAGTCGCGTCCTGCTCGCTTGCTCCTGATCAGGCATACTTTTGTACACCTCCATCATGACGGCAGTGGGGCTAAGCTGTGTGCACTGGGGGATTCTGGGAAGTGCGAGCAGCACAGATGTCCGGCTGTGACTGCCTGGCCTCCCGGCAGGGCCTGGAACCTGAGGCGGCAGAGATGCGCTGCACGCGTGCGCCTGGGAATCCCGAGATGAGAGAGCGCTGCCGGTGGCGGCGAGAGGCCCAACTCCAACATGCAAATGTAAATCTACATTTTCCTCCTTCATATAGCAGAGCTAAGGATGGATCAGGATTCTGCAGTTGTTGTGACCGGCGAAAGATGTGCAAGGTTTGCGTTACACCTGCAATAAATGCTAAGCTGGGGCATGGCTGGAAGAAAAGGTGAGTGCTGGAGCCCAGGAAGGGGAGAATGGGAAGCGTCCTTGGGCAGAGTGGCGGAACTACCCAAAGAGGTGACCAGCTGTAGCGGAGGGTGCCGAACGGGGGAGAGCCGCGAAGAGGAGACGCCCTGGAGAAGGGAGCCGAAGCCTCGGCCGAGGCGCTGCTCCAGGGGAACCACCAGAGCCTAGGCACCGCTTCCAGCCACTGGAGGAAGGGGCCGGGGACAGCCGGCAGAGGAAGCGCGGCAAGGCGCCCGCGCCACAGGGAGCACGGCGCAGAAAGATGGTGGCCAAGGCATGTTCAGCCCCAAGGAGAGAAGACTTGATAATCAGAGATAATCAGATTTTCAGACAATACAAAACTGGGTGGAATAGTGAACATGCTAGAAGAGAGAATGAAGATCCAGGACGATCTTGATAAACTTGAATGCTGGCCTGAAAGCAATGGAATGAGATTCATTAAGGACAAGTGCCCAGTCCTCCACCCAGGATAAAGAAACCAAGGGCATTGATACAGGATGGGGAACACGTGGCTCCACAGAACTGAAAAAGAAAAGGATCTCGGAGTGACTGTGGATAACAGGCTAAACGTGAGCCAACAACACGATGCAGCTGCCAAAAGGGCAAAATGCTATTTTGGGGTGTATTAACATAAGTATTATTTCCAAATCACAAGAAGTAGTAGTTCCCCTATACTCCTCACTAGTCAGGCCTCACCTGGAACTGTCCAGTTCTGGGCACCAGGAATTAAGAAAGATGCAGAAAAATGAGAAAGGGTCCAGCGGAGGGTAACAGAAATGATCCAGGGTTTGGAAACGCTGCCCTGCGAGGAGGGACTGGGGGAACTGGGCATGCTCAGCCTTGAGAAGGCTGAGGGGGGACATGAGATCCCTCCAGGACCTCCAAGGCTGCCACAAAGAGGAAGGCCAAGGTCTCGTCTCACTGATCCCAGAGTGCAGGACATGGAATAATCAGTTCAAGTTGCGACAGCCCAGATTCAGACTGGACTTCAGGAAAACCTTCCTCACTGTCAGAGAAATGCGACAGGGAAACCAGCTGCCTGGAGAGGTGGGGGGCTCCCCCACATGGGGGACATCCAGAAAGAGGCTGGACAGCCACCCAAGTGGGAGGTGTGGCTTGGTGTCCTGCACCAGCAGGGGCTGGACCCGAGGGCCCCCTTGGCCCCTTCCCACTCTGCTGTTCTATGATTCTGTGGCCGAGAGGGGATATGATACCCCTCTGTGAGTACTGGCAAGGCTGTCACAAAGGAGGACAAGATCTTTTCCCATTCATTCTGGAGTACAGGACATGGAATAGTGGCCCTAAAGTCACAGGAAACCAGATTTATACTAAACAGCAGGAAGAATTTCCTCACTGCCAGAGCAGTACAATGGAGCCTCTTCCCCCAGGGGAGTTGTGAGCTCTCCCTCGCTGGACACATTCAAGAAGCTGCGGGCAAGGGAGAGGCTGCACCTCACCAGAACAAGCAAAAACCTGGAAGAAGCCGGGCCCTCGGGTCCAACCGCTGGGCAGTGCAGGACTCCGGGTTCAACCACCCCTCTCGGGGGGCCAGTCAGCTGCATGCCTCCAGCGTGGGGGGGCCACTGGTTGCACCGTCAGGCAGCCGCCCACACACAGCGCTGCAGACGCGGTCCAGCCAGTGCCGAGCCCGAGCAGGCAGGAGCCGGTGAAAGTGCTGCTTCCACGGAGCAGCTGCCCTTGGCTCAGCCACAGCCGCTCGACTCGGGTCCAGTCTGGGATCTCCAGTTCTCACCGGCAGGATGTGGAGCCACATATTCCCCATCCTGGAACGATGCCTTGAGCTGCTCTCTGGGGCTGCCCTCCGGGGGCCCCAGGGCCGAGACCCCCCAGTGCCACTGAGGCACAAGCTGCCCAACGCTCAAAGCTGCCTGGTGCCAGAGAGGGGCCAGCCTCTTGGGGGGCTGCCCAGTTGCCGGACCTGCTGGCCCCCAAAACCCAGTGAGGGTCCCACCTACTCGCTCCCCCCCGCGAGCCTCGCCAGCCGCCCCCAGTGCCGCGAGGGGAGGGCGCCCGCTCCATGCCCCTTCCTGCCTCGCCAAGAGGGCTCGTGCGATGCGACCTGCCCGCCTCCTCTCATGCTTCCGGCAGAGTCTTGCCCAGGAGCCGCCCTCGGGCCCCCGTGGAGAAGCGCCTTCGCCGGACCTCCGGTGCGGGAGCAGAGCGGGTGAAAGCCGCAGCGGGAATGCGCGAGGCCTTGCCCAGCCGAACGGACCAGGCAGCACCTGGCCCAGCCCGAGGAGCTGCTGGGGAGCAGGGGGCTGGGCGGTGGTCGCTGGGGCCGGTCGTCTGTGCATCGATCTTGGCCGGAAGGGGAATCCACCCAATTCCCCATGTGGCCTTTGTCCTCAGGCCCCCCCGAGGTGATCGGACTTGGGGGTGGGGGCTCGCTGCGGCACTCCCCCCGCAGATGTCTGGACTTCTAATGCTGCAGGTTTCCGTGGCGCCAGGTCAGCGCTGCCCGGTTGGCCTTCACACGCCCGTCTCCCAGCGGGCCTGCTGCTCCCAGTGGCCACGGGGCTTACTCAGAAGCAAGGCGAACGGCACAGACGGGCAAGGGATCGGGTGCGGCACCGCGTGGCACCGCTGCAGCCGCTTCACGAAGCCGCTCGCCGGAGAGGGAAGCAAACTTTATTCAACCTAAGAACATCACATCTCGCCATTTCGCTAGCAACAGAGTCAAGACCAGGGGAGAGGAAAACGCCGCCACGGAAGGGAAGGCTGCTTGCAATCCGGGGGGGCCACGCGGGATCGTCAGTGGTGGCCCTTCACGCTGCTGCAGAGCTGCAGAAGCTGCGTCTAGGAGCGGGGAGAGAAGGCACTTCAGCTGAGCACAAGGGGCAGGAGCCAGGCAGCCCCCAGCCCCGGGGCAGGGCCGTGCGCCGGCCGGCCTCTGCGCCAGGCCCGCTGGGGCCGTGGGGGGCTCGGGCTGCTGGGTGGAAGTGCCCCCGGCAAGGGAGAGCCGGGGGAGCGGGAGGCCGCGGGGATGGGGCGCGCTTGCCCAGAGGCTCACCGACATCTTCTGCACGGTCCCGAGGGTGTCCACGTTGAGGCGCATCAGGTCCTGCCGGCAGAGCTCGCTGGCCCTCACACGGATGCTCTGCGCAAGAAAGCGGCCGTGACGCCCGGGCGGCTGGGGGCGCGCCGTCCTCCGGCAAGCCCACACGGGCCGGGCCGCCTGCCGACCCCCAGTCTGCACGAGTGGGGAAGCCGGGGGAGGGGCCTGCACCCCGACAGTCGCCTACGCAAACGGCAGCACTCGCTTCCCTCCTGACGGCGCCCGGCCCCAAGCCCAGCCGCCCTCGGCAGCACCCCCAGGCGGCTTCCTCCACCGCCCCCCCAGCCCCTCTGCCCCCCTTCATGCTGCCTGCGGGGCTGCCCTCCTCACCCACTGCGCTTGGCAGGGCCCCCTGCTGCCCCCCAGGCATGGCCCCTGGAGCATGCGCTGCGGAGCCTCCCGTTTGACCGCAACAAGCTCAGCCGCCCGCCTTGCACAGGAGAGGGACGCGATCGTGGACGCCACAGGCTCAGGCCACCCAAACCCACCCGCTGCTGGTCTGTGGCGCCCCGTGGCCCCGGGGGCCGGCAAGCGACTGGCCCCAGCCACCTCCCACTAGCTCCTGCTCAGAGGACGCCCTGCCCCACCCCCGGCCAGCCGCCCCCCGCTGCCTTACCTCCCCCCCGCCCATGGGAAGCGTGAGGAAGATCTCGTTGCCGTCCGCCAGGGGACTGCCGTTGGCAGAGATGCTGAAGACACGCTCCTGGGCCGCCGGCGCCCGCAGGCCGGGGGTCTTAAAAATGCTGGGGAGAGAGGCGGGCGCCCGTGTGGCGGCTGAGCAGCCTGGCTGGGGTGGGCAGACCCCAGGGCAGGCAGGCAGGCAGGCGGGCGGGACAGGGCAGCGGCAGTGGGGGGCGGGCCCCCCACCGAAGCTCCCCTGGGGCCGCGGTGCCTCTCGGCTCTGCCTGCCGGGCAGGCCCCGAAGGGGCAGGCGACAGCTCGGCTCACCTGGAATCAAACTTGGGAGTCAGTGTGGGGGTGGCGCCCCGGAAGGCTGCCGGGCCAACCGGCGTGACGAGATTTGCTTTGCTCGGCCTGTGGAAAGCAAGCAGGCACCGCGTCTACGTCCAGCCGTGCCACGCCTCCCCAAAGGCCACGAGGCACTGGGGCGCCCCACCCGAAGCTCCCTGCGCCAGGTGTCCCCGATGTGCTGGGCCACATGCCCATTGCCCGGCCAGTGTGGTCACGGCCACAGCGCGGGAGATCCAGGCCGCAGGCCCCCCCTTACCTTTTGCTGAACTGGGTGGTCCTGGCGGAGGGAGGCCGGCTCCTCTTCGGCGCCGGGGCCTTCTTGGCGGAAGCCTTCGCCTGGAAGACAAGGAGCCGAGCACTCACTCACGGATGGGGCCTGCGGAACCCACAGCTCCCCACGGACCGAGCTGCTGCACTGGGGCTGGTGGGAACGCGTGCCAAAGCCCGACGGCCTGACCGGCCATGGGAGGCTGCGGCGGAAGCCCTGCGCCAGCTCCTCTTCCGAAAGGGGAAGACGTTGCTCACCCGCCGGTGCGTGGCCGAGGGGCGCGCCTCCATTTGCCAGGGACGGGGGAAAGGACCGGGGCCGCTGCTGCCCTCTGGCCGCTAGCCACCCCCTGCCTGTGCTGACAGCCTCCCGCCCTGTGTGCTCTGGGACCCCGAGCCGGGCCCAGTCCTATGGGAGGGGGCTCGCAGAAGCAGTGCGCAGGAGAGCCTTTGGCGCAAACGGGCTGCTTTCGCCTGCAGCCTCGTCCCACAGGAGTCTCTGCATATCGCTGGCCTTTTCACCCCTCCGACCTTCCTTTACGTGAGGTTGTAAAGCAGCCTCACGTCTGCTTCAGTGTGTGTGCGTGTGTGTGTGCGCGTGATTCCACTTAAGCCTCAGTGCCTAATTCGGGGGCGTTGCTTGGCCTTTGCTGTTGCTTCAAGTTTCTGGCTCTGAAGGTGCAGCGGAGGGTCTGGGTGAGGCCTTCTCTCTGCACACCAAGCACGCTGGGAAAGGCCCGACTGTAACAGGCTCAGGCCACAGCAGAGGGAAAGGGGCCGTGCCAGCTGCCCATGGGGGTGGGCAGAGTGCTGCCCGACTGCACCCCAGGCATGGCATGGCCCTTCCCCGGCTTGCGGACCGGCTGCTGGCAACCCTGGGTGCGCCTCGGGTTCTCCTCCGCAACTGCCGGCACTCCTGGGGAAGGCCACCGCACACCCCCCACGCCTGGCACATGCATGCATGCCCCTGTGCTGCCGGGAGTGCGCGCATGGGGAAGCCTTCCCCAGGAGGCCGCTGCCTGTGCTTGCAGGGCCGAGCCAGCCCGGGCGCGGTGCAGGCGCCCTCCTCGCCTCGCCTCGCCTCTCCAGAGGCAGCCCGCATTCCCCACGAGGCACATGCTGCCGGGAGGCTGCTGCGGCTCATGCACACAGCCAGGGCAGCTCCCCGGCGAGCCAGGCCGCGGCCGGCGGCAGCAAAGCTCGGCGCTGCACCAGCCAGCAGGAGCCCCGCAGCCAAGCAGCGCCGCAGGCGTTACCGTCCTCCGTTTCTGGCGCAGCGTCTCAGGATGGGGCTCCAGGGCTCCACCGGCGGCATCCTCCTGCCGGGACCTCTTGCCTGCAGGCAGCACTGGCGTCCCCGTCTCTTCCTCGATGGCCTCGACGGCCTGCTTGACTTTCCTGGCTGGGGGGCATTCAAACCAGCAGGGATCACCCTCCGCTCACGAGCGAGCGGCGTGCCGTGGAAGAGGAGGCGCCCCCGGCTGTGCCGAGCTGGCCCGCCACTGACCTTTCCGGACTGTCTTGAGAGGGGTGTCCATCACCTCAGAGGCGAGTTTGGTGATCTCCTGTATGTCCGCATCCATCTGCAACACAAAGCGCAGGCAAGGCCGCACGCGTGAGCGAGGGGGAGGCCGCTCTGCTGGGACGGTCTGGGGAGCTGCAGCCTGTGCCCCAGGGGCGGCACCAGGGCTCCGCGGAGCAGACTGACAGGGGACGGGCAGGCGGTACCCACCGAGGCAGCCGTCTCCAGGGCTTTCTCGCTTCCTCCTAGAGCTGAAGAGAGGAGAAGCGCCTCGATTAGAGCAGGACCAAGGCGGCCCGGCCGAGAGCAGGGCTGTGACTTGACTGGCAGCAGGGGCCAGGCCCTCCTGCCACCCGGCTTCATGGGATGACCCTGGGCTTGAGCACTGCGGGAGAGGGAGGAGGAGACCTCCCTCTCCCCTTTCTCGGCAGCAGGCATTGCTCTGAACACCTCCGTCGCTTGCTTTGTTCTCAACCGGAACAATTGCAGGTCGCTCTCGCCCCCGGGTCAGTTTCGCGGCCCCTCCCCGCACTTCGCTGCCCTTCGGCGGAGATCCAACCGTGCTCCGGCTCCTGTGGCTTGAGCCCGTCACTCCCCTCCGGGAGGATCGAGCAGGGGCCCGGCCTTCCTTTACGCGGCGGCTTGTCCAGTGCTGCCCGAGCTGCGCCCCCCGGTCCCCCGCGCCCCGAACGCGCCCCGCCCGGGGCCGCTCCCGCCGCAGGGCTCCGTCCCCAGCCGCCAGGTCGCCCCCGCTGCGCCGCGTACCGAGGAACTCGAGCCAGTTCATCTCGCGCAGCGCCAGCGGGACGGAGAGCAGCTTGATGTTGAACGTGTTCTCGACGTCCTTCTGGAGGCTCCTGCCGGCCATGCG